GCTTTAGTGTTCTTGATTACCATAAGTGGTTCCAACACCTTATTATCTCATGGAAGTTTTGATGATTGGAAGGTAAATATTCCTTTATTTGTGCTACCAATATTTGGCGGCTTCAATGTTTTCAAACCAACAAGAGGTTAAATTTTTCTTATATTGTTTTTAGTGAGCTAGTAGACACCGTATACAATATTCCCTCCTAGTGCTTGGAGTCCTTAGTCTATGGTTTTCTTTTGAGCCACTTATTCATTAAAGTCGGTATCGAAGTCTCTTGTGATATTGTTATCCTCTTTATCTCTTCCATTGACTTCAAATCTTTACGTAAATCAGGATGAGAGCAAGTTAGAAATACTTGGTAAAGGAAGGAGAAGGCAAGGCAAGGTGCCAAATGATAACTCTCCAAAAGAGTTATCATTTAGGATTCTTTTCACCTAGGTTAAGCTTGCACTTTAGCATTATTAAGACCATGTTAGGATCATTTCTTTACATATTTTATTATAATTTGCATATGGGAATTTGTTGATGAATTGGGTTGATTATAATATTTTATGATGTAAACTGATACGCTGATGTTATGAATTACTTTAAACTATATCTGAAGACGTGTTGTAATATTGCCCTGAATCATTAGTAGAACTGACAACAACTGATGAGTCAACACGAGGTTATGGAAATTTTTTGAATGGGGTAGCTGGTATGACAACTATTAAAAGGCTAACAAATCATGAAAATGTGGATTATTCCTATTGGATAGAGGCTTAACTTTGTAAGCCTATAAAGGGGAAAAAAGATCACACATTTAACACACTATTTTCTTCTCCAATTATTTTCTCCAAAAGTTTTATCTTTCAATCAACCATGGCTACATAAATCCTTCACCAGGGACTGTAGCACCAGTTAATGGAGTAATACCGTGTAGCAGCGGTGATCAATTGTGATTCGAAATTTATTTTGGGTTCTTTTCTTGAGTGAGGGAAGATACTTTATTTAGTTTAGATGTATTATTGTTTATGATGTTATTTGGATTTGGATTCAAGGTGTTCGATTAAATGCTTTTTTTTTTATTTTTTCTTAAAAATATTTTTTGTGGTGGAGCTTATTTGTGATAATTTTAGAGATGCATTTATCTTTATTGTATGTTGCTATTGATTATTTTTAGATATGAAAATTATCGAGGATGTAAGTTATTTTCTTACTGCATTGTTGTTTGCGATAGTAAATTTAGTATATATGTATACTACCAATTGTCACTATTATGTTAACTACTTTATTGTTGGTTTGGAAAGAATTAATTCTAATTGATTAAGTGTTTGATTTTTCAGAGGAGATTAACGTGCTGACCATTGCATGACATATAATCATATTGGGAATTGCCGAATAACAGAAGCATTTATAGGTCCTTGGATCAATTTTCTCTTTTGATTATTGTTACATTCCCTGCCTTTACTATTATGAATTCTAACATTTTCTATAATCCTATCGCTATTCCACTTAAATATTATGTTTTCTATCGAGATTGACAATTCTAACTTTCGATACATCAGTCTTTGTGTGTTCGACATTACGTATAGTTGCATTGAATGTTTTAGCACTATTTGTAGCATCAAGCTTTTGGCGTTATTTCCAGGAGAAATTTTATTGCATTGGAGTTTTTTTTTCTTTCCTTTTTTTACTAAATTTGTTTATTTTCAGTTTGTATGTATCTTACTAGTTTAGTGTTGTTGATGCATAACCCACAATAATAATAAAGATTTAGAACATTTTGGTCTTCAAATTAAATGAAATATTCATTGTCATCCTAGGAAAGCAAATCAACATCAACCCAAAATGGCTCATCTTGATGGTAGCAATGCTTTACCACCATTACAATAAGGTGAAGATGAATTATCGCCTCGAAATTGGGTTAATTCGTTGAACTTCTACAATATTCATGACCATAGTAGACAATTTGAGAGCATGTTGTGCCAACTTCAGACGATCTGAATACTAACATTGTGGGACCTATAATCCTTTCTACCCACTTTGAGTTGAAACCTGTGATGTTCTAGATGCTACAGTCTATGGGGTAATATAGTGGTTCATTTATCTAAGATCTTAGAGCACATTTAAGAGTATTCATGAAAGTGTGAGATTCTTTTGTACAACAAGGACTGCCCAAAGAATCTTCTAAGATAAAGTTGTTTCCTTATTCTCTTCGTGACAAAGCCAAGGCGTGGCTACTCGCTGCCACCTAGTACTATAACATCATACAATGATATCATTAAAAAATTATTGTCTTTCAACCCTCCTAACATAAATACTAATCCGAGGAACGATCTCACATCATTTAACTAATTGGAGTATGATAATCTTTATGAGGTTGGAAGCATTCCAAAGATTTGTTGCACAAATGCCTAATGCATGGTTTCAAGCATTGGACACAAATGGACATGTTTTATAATGGATTGAATATGAAAACAAGAATGGTTGTTGATGCTTCTACTAATGGAGCATTGTTGAATAAGACTTACAATGAACCATATGACATATTGGAAAGAATATCCAACAATGACTATCAATATTCTGACACAATTATTATGTTCGGTAGAAAAATGCTATTATAACACCCCCTTCTCGTATCCATTACTAGACATGAGCTAGAGATGTCACATTAAACTTATGAAACTTTTCTTATTGAAAATAAAAAATATGTTTCTTTAGAACTATTATCGATAAACAATAATTTATTTAATCGCATAAAACACCTATCTAATTATTCATCATTCAAACTAAGTCCATCAATCTTAGCATAAACTAGCTTATAACTTATTCCAAACTGTCTGAGTAAAGTTTATAGAAAATACTTATAACATATATATGCCAACTAGAAAAATCAAATAAAGCATATAGATGTTATTAATGATACTGTAGACTTGTTTCTTGATAAGTAAAATGCCAAGCACTCCTTATTTTGTTATTTTTTGGATAATTTTAAATTTTATTACCCAAGATGCAGAGTTCTGCTACAAAAATTATCCCATCAATGGGATAAATTACAACCTACTTACAACAGAAATGTATGGTCAACACCCCAATGATTACAAATGTAAATATTGATACTATCTAATCTATTTATATTCCTTCATCTTAATTGAATACCTACAATCTTTTTAAAAGAGTTCAATATTTCTTTCACACTTCTTGTACTTCCTCGGTACAATCTTCTATTTCTTTTCTCCAACAAGGAATAGATTAAAGCGCACCAAGCAAGTTTCAAGATAGTAGTGAGAAGGGACTTATCTTTCCAAGCACTACAGGCCCAGTCTAACATGCTCACCTATGGTAAAGGAGGAGTGCTTAAGTTGAAGAGATTCAAAATATTGTTCCATAAGGAAATTGCCAGAGTACAATCAATGAATAGGTGTTCTCTACTCTCCGTAGCCTCCTTGCAGATTATACATGAGCCATCAATAATGATTCCCATTATAAGAAGCATCTCTTTAGTTGGGAGTCTATCTAGAAGCGCCATCCATGTAATCATGCTATGTTTGGGAACGTATAGAGGAAACCATATCAATTTGTGCCATGAGACTTTATCTCCTTTTACCCGAAGTTCTTTCCATAAATCTTTTGTCTTAGTTGCTCCTATAGATAAAACAGGAATAACAACTGCCTCAAGTTTCAATAAGCGCCTGAAACACCAGCTAGAATTTTCTTTATCATCTATGAACAGAAAGTCTTGATATTTAATAATGTAACTTTTGATCCAAGCTACCCACAATGATCCCTCTCCTGTAAGTATATTCCTAATAAGTTGTATCATACTTGCTTTGTTCCATGTTTTAATATCTTTTAATCCGAGTATTCCTTTAGATTTAGCTTAGCAAAATTTTTACCGGCTAACTCTTGCCCTAATGGAAGCCTTATTAGTTCCTTTCCAAAAAAATCTAGAGAAAAGTTGTTCAATCATGTTAATAGTAGTATGAGGTAGAATTAACTGTCTGCACCAGTAATTTGATATACTGCAGAGGACATCTCTGATAAATTCTGATCTTCCTATATAACTCAAGTGTTTTCACGACTAGTGATGAAGCTTTAATTTGATCTTTTGAATAAGAACTACACAGTCCTTTTCAGTGAGTTTCCTTGTGACTAAAGGAACCCATAAGTATCTTACTGGCAAGCAACCATGTTTGAGTCCCATGATTGTAAAATATGCCCAAGATTTCTGAAATTGACTCCAGCAGTAAATAGTTAACATTTAGCAGCATTAAGTTTTAGACCAGACATTTCATATAATTGATCCAGGACACTAATGACTACAGCAACAGATTCGATGTTGCCTTTACAGAAGATAAGTATGTCATCTGCAAAAGTAAGGTGAGTGAGGTCGATGTTTTTGCATTTAGGGTGGTACCCAAACAAACCTTTAGCAGCTGCCATTTAAGGATTCTAGAAAGTAAATTCATTGTAAGAACAAATAATATTAGAGAAAGAGGGTCACCTTGTCTTATTCCCCTTGCACCATTGAAAAAGCCAATAAAACTTCCATTGAAAGAAATGGAGTATCTTGCTTCAGTAAAGTAGGTTTCAATCCAACCAATGAAAGTATTAAGGAGTTGTAAAGCTTTAAGGATTGAATAAATGAAACCCCAGTGGAGATAGTCAAAAGCCTTTTGTAGGTCAATTTTCAAGGCACATCTAGGAGAGATAGATTTCCTTCCATAACTTCTCACCAGTTATTGAGCAAGTAGGGTGTTGTCAACAATATTTATTCATTTTACGAAAGCTGACTGGTTGGGAGATATAATTCCTGGAAGAAGGGTAGTCAACCTTTTTACTAAGATCTTTGTAATTGTCTTGTATATTATAGAACAGTATGAAATAGGCCGAAAATCTTTAACCTTGTTGGGATTAGGTACTTTTGGAACCAACGTAATGGTAGTAGCATTGAAGGCTGGAAGGATGAAAGTCTCTTGAAAGAAGTATTTAATAGCTTTTACTATATCTTCTCCAACCACAGACTAGGATTTTTTGAAAAAGTATGGAGTGAATCTATCAGGATATGGAGCTTTGTCATTTCCTTGGTTGAAAATGGCTTCTTTGATTTCTTCACCAGTTACTTCCTTAACAAGGTTAAAAGAATAATTTGAAGGCAAATTAAATTGCATCAGATTTTTTAGAAGATTAGGCTCATAGTTTTTAACCCCGGAATCTGCAGTACCTAGAAGACATGAGTAAAATACACTTATCTCAGAAGCCATTCCTTCAAAGGATTCAAGCCTTCTACCTTGGTCAATAACGAGAATTCGGATGGTGTCTCTTTTGTTTTTACCTGAGATAATTGAATGGAAGATTTTTGTGCATTTGTCACCCTCTTTTAACCATTGAACTTTGGCCTTTTGTTTTAAGAACATACCCTCTGCTTCTTCAAGAGATAATAGTTCATTCTGTAAAAACAACTCTTTTTCTATAGTGTCTTCTCCACGTAGAGTATATAGCTGAATTTGTTCTAACTCATTTTTCTTTTCAAGCACCGGAGTAGAAATGTCACTGTAACATTCTTTGTTTATGATCTTGAGGCATACTTTTAGACACTTAAGCTTGAGGAAGAGAACCTTCTTCAGGTTTCCTTTAATGGATGGTTGCCATGATTGTATAACTTCATTTAAGAAATTAGGATGAACAGTCCAGAAGTTGAAAAATTTGAAAGGTTTTGGTCGGTTAGTTTGAACCTCCCTATTGAGCCGAACTAGTGCCATACAATTATCAGATGCTCCAGGTCCAAGGAATTCCACAAATGAGTTATGAAAAGTATTTACCCGCGTGGGATTGATAAGAACCCTATCAAGCTTCTTTGCAAGAAAAGAGTGTTGTTGTTTGTTGCTTCAGGTGAAGGAAGGACCAAAGAAATAGTGTTCTTGAAGATGGAGATTTTGAAAGACTTCTTGAAAATCCTTCATGTCAAGAGCTAATGATGGACCCATAAGCTTGTAGTTTAAACTTTCCTTCAATTGTAAGATAACGTTGAAGTTTCCTCCTAAGATCCATGGAAATGATCCAAAAAATGTTTCCAATTCACGTAGATGTTGTCAGAGATGTCTTCTAATTGTACCATTATTGCTTGCATTAATGGTTCTAATGATCTGGGGAGCACCCATAAAAGAGCCTCTAATAGAATGGACTGAGCTGTAGCTTGACAAAGAGAGATGTCTAAACCTTTTTTTCCAAAGAATCCAAAGTCTTCCATTTGAAGCAAATTCGTAGTTTGAACAAGTATTCCAATTCGTAAATTTGGAATTCAAAATTTCCACTGATTTCTCCAATTTAACACAGGTTTCCAATAAACAGAGTATGTTGACATTATTTTGAATAGCCCATTGTAGGACTTTTTCTTGTTTTAGAGGATTGTTTAATCCTCTAATATTCCAGAAACTAATAATCACAGAGAATAAGGGCCCATTGCAACCCCATCAGCGCGACATGTTGGACTTTTTGCATCGTCTATGTGTGTTTTTTTTAATTTGAGATAATTAATCATACATACTACACCTAAAAAAGATGACCGAATTTTCCCCACTTGGTCTTCTATGATTGGTGGATTTTGTCCACTTGTTTGAGGAAAATAAACCTGTTTTGAGATACAGTGAATGCTGATTTTGTTTTTTCTTTTGTTGGCCTTCCTCTACCCCTTTTTGGAATTAAAAGATTAGCATCAATTACTTCCTCGGTTGAACCAGTAGGATTGGAAGTAGGCAGCTCAACTTCAACTATTGGAACGTTGAATACAGAGGTTTGGTCAGCGTCTTTGCCTCATTCCAATGTGAAAGAAAGGACCGAATTAGCTTTATCACCCTCTGCAGCAGTGTCTTTAGGTTATGTATGTGTTTCCATTGGAATTGATTCTTTTTCAATTTCTCTCTTCATATTTTGATGCAAGTTCATATATTATAATCATGTGATTCCGATTCCGAGGTAGAAGTTTTTTCTCCCTTTTTTCTCCAAACTTGCGAAGATCCTGGATTGGAGATTCAAAAGTTTCAGCCTCCGAGGTAGAAGTTTTTTCTCCCTTTTTTCTCCAAACTTGCAAAGATCCTAGGTTGGAGATATTAATAGAGGAATAGGTGGCTCTCTCGATGGTGAAATCGACATGCGACAACTAGCTTTGATATCAAACATGAAAAAATATTGAACCGCGTAAAATTAAAATCTAGTATTTTTTAACATTTAAATTAAGTTATATTTTAAGAAGAAATAAGGTATTTCAATATTTATCATATTTTAACTAAAACTAAGTAGAAACTGCCTAAGGAAAAATTCATATTTATGCTATTAAAATATAACCTTATCAAAAATATAAAACCAAAATTCATGTTAATAACCATATACTACTCACTAAAATTCACACATATAAACTATTATAAACCATTTAAACATTTATACATATCAGAGCATTTCTGACCTAATCAAATCTAGCCATATGAAAACATACTAATACTTATACACATATACATGACAACTAGAAAATCAAATCAATAGTAATATGTCATTATTGATACCACTGTGTAATCTTTTAAAAGTATGCTAGGCTAAACTCTTTATTCCACTGGATCTTCTTTTCCTACATGTGAAAATCATCACACGCTATGTATACACTTAGTGAGACATTATCATAAATAAGTAAGGCATGTAGCAATATAAAATATCGTATAAATCATAATACTGTAAGTATCATATAAAAACATATACAAATATAAATAGACTTGTCAAAATCTTTGCGTTATTTGATAACTTGTAAATCAAAAGTTTAGAGATAAAGCATTTTATGCCAACTTAGAGTATTTTTTGAAAGATTTACTTTCAATGAACATATACAATTGGCTTATTAAATTCATTCTTTCATAAAAAAATATGAAAACATCATTTCTCATATACAAGGCATACAATGCCATAACAAATTACTCAGTAAAATATTTGTTGTCACTCATATCATATAACTTGAACTTTTCATTTTTCATATAAACCATAGCCCAATGTATCATATATGAGAATGCATACTACGCAAGTCACTAGTAGCCACATATTTCACTTTTTGTGCTATAAAGATATACATACAAGTGTTGTAGAACACAACATCATGCATTGATAACCAAGAATACAATATTACCAAATTCACTTACTATATTTTACATTCCCCAAAATCACATTGTACAAAATTCAGTTACCATATACTCACTGTAGTTGCTCACAATAGTACAAAATTCACTTACTATATGCATCAGTCAGCTAATAACACCCACCTCTACGGAATAATGCACAATAGTACCAAATTCACTTACTATGTGCATGACAATTGTACCAAACAATCTCAATGTACATACAATGTGCATTTTTGTTAAATTCATATAGGTTTTGTTCATTAAAAGTATCCATCGTTACTCATAGATCATTTATCATATAGAAGAGCATTGGGCAGTTCATACTCGAAATATTTCATTCTCATATAACATGAATATATTATAAAAAATCATTAATCACTTATCTTTTCAACATATAAGCATCATATCAATCATATGATTAACATCATAGTCATCATAGTCATATACTAGAGTGGGCTCAATTTGAACATTTAAACTAGGATATAACCTAAAAATAACATATAATACATGATTTATCACAATTCCCTATTCAGGAAGTTTTTGTTACCTGTAAAGAATTAATATTATGTGTTAAACTACACACTTAAAATTAATTTCACTTATACTATTATAAACTAGACTCAAATAAAAATCTAACCATATAAATTACTCTTTTTAGTTCAAGTTATACAATTTATGGTGAATTTTCTAATCTAGAATACATAATATATTTTGAGTAAAATTTAATGTATAGATTTCTTACCCATCATCGATTAAAAGTTCATATCCTCTAACATACAGTTCGAAATCAGTTTCCATTTTTGTACACAAAACTAGATTGACATAAAAATTCAATGGTATAAGAATCATATTATAATACATTATATATAATTTTTGGCAATTTTTCCAAAGTTACTTTCAAGAGAATAGAATCTTAGCAGATTTCATTATTCTGCATCTTTTTCTTATTCACCAATTCAATTAGCTTCTACATACAAAATGGACCTATATGCATGAATCATAAAGTAACATAACATCCAAGATTTACTTATTATTATAGTAACTCTGTCATTGGCTCATTGTAAGCCAACATTTCCATAATAACATAAATACAAACCAAATATGCACTCACCTCGACACTTTAAACGTCAACCATAATGTAAAGCTCCATGAATTCTTTGTAAGAGCTCTTTTTCTTTCCTTTTTATTCACTTCACCTCAATTGAACTTGGATGGTTCACCCACGTCAATTACACAACAACTAGAATTAAATATATATATTAGAATCCATTCTAACAATGCATATAAATATAAACGACTCTGTAAAATTAATTTCGATGCTCAATCAAAACTAATTACACTCCATACACTTTAAAATTCTATCAACACTTCACATTATAACTTCAAATCTCCCCATATCCAAATTAAAGAATAATTCACATAACATTTCCAATTTCACAATCTAATTATCAATATGAATTCTTTTGGAATTCATCTTATTATTTCCATAATATAAATTCAATTCAAATTCAACTTCATATCAAAATGCTAATCATGGCCAAATATTATAGAGGCATTTCAAGTGGTTTCAATCATCATGCATACATGGAAATGTTTCCATAACATTAAATCATCAAAATCTATCCTTAAAACATCATAATCAAACTTCACATTCATCCATCCTATTCATTAAATTATGTTTCCAAGCATGGAAAGTGTGAAAAAATGGTACTAAATGATATAAAATTTCATGTAGAACAATTTCATATTTCATGGTTTCATCCAAAAAGCAAAGGAATTGGCTTGAAAATGGAAAAAAATTCTCATATTTGGCATGGAGTTCACTACATGTAGGAGGAAGATTAGCAAAGTTTCATGTATTTTCTCCTAAAAACCTATTACAGTTGTTCTTTTAAAGATTAAAATTAATTAATCCAACGTCTAATATGAACAAACATATTCATACTTTTAAAAATTTCCCTTTCACATGATCAAAAATTACAATCTTGTCATTTTAATCCAATGGTCCTGGTTTAACATGGAAAATTAATCTTAAATCCAATGATCCATGTTAAATTATTCCATAATAAAATATGGAAATGAAATTATCACACTTCCTCTATCATCATTCAAAATATCTTAAAAATTTTATTATATCCAACTATCTAAATTTTCCAAACATTATCGCTTTATAGCTTTTAATAAAAAAAATCAAGATAAAAAATATAAAACCCACAAAACATCCTTCTTGGGGGTAAACTATTCGTTTATGGGCCAAAATACAAAATTTTTAAAAATTAAACTTTGGTTCCTTGAACTTTTTAAAAGTTTGTACTTTGGTAACTAAACTTTCAAAAATTATATTTTGGTTACTAGTAAAAAAATAGGGATATTACAATGAGTGACGATATAGCGAGGAGATTTTTTTTGTAAAGAATTTTATTTGGAGAAAGGATTTGATTTATCATTTGTGGAAGACCCGCTTGCATATGCTTATGTCAATGATATTATTGCCAAGTTGAGGTGGGAGACCTTCTACTCTCACCTGGCGACATCATCTAGGAGTTGGTGTGGTAGTTCTACAACAACTTTACCAATAACCAGTAACCCTTAGTTTATGTGCG